CTGACTTGTAGAAAATTTACTATTTCTTTAATTTAAGCAACTCTTTAAAATTAATATATTTTGCAAGCTCCTTAAAATAATTTCAATAATATTTTTGTTTCTCGAAAAATTTGTAAATATATAAAAAAAACAGTATCCTAAAAAGTCATCGAGGCATTGTATGGATTCGTTAGTATAAAATAAATGATTTTGTCGGCAAACGTTTAAGTACGTAGTTGAAAATTGTCTCTAAATTTGAGATTTTAAGTTAGAGACAATTTTTGGGACTTGAGACGACTTGAGACTTTCCTCTTCTGTGACAGTTACAAAATCTATTACTTTTAATTATTCAGAGATATTTTTACACTTGAATGAAAATAAATAGGTATGTCGATAACAAAATTAAAATTTCAATAAATTAGTCAAAAACATAACTATCAATGAAAATAAAAAATATATGTTGACTTTGTTTCATAATATTTACGTAATTTATGTACTATAATTGATTTATTTTTAACCTTTTCGTGTTTGAGTTGCTTACAAAATATAAAAAACGACAATCCATTAATATCTATGATGATCTCTGTTTGGTATATTCAAAATGGCAGACATGAGTTCTAGAGACTGGTTACAGAATCCCGCTATTGAGTTAATTTTTGGGAAAAGTCAAAGTAAAGGTAAAAAAAGTTTAGTTCTTTTAACCGTGTTTTCATTCGTGCATTTCAGGCTAGTAAAGCGATGTTTTGAAATGAATATTTTGTTTATTTGCAAATTATTTATGATTTCTAAGCTATATGAATGACAAAGCGCCCAGAGCAGGCATTTATTCACTAAATTGACAACTACCATTAGAAAAGATCATGAAACGACTGTGGCGCCAATACAAGGCTGAAAATGGGTACGTTTACATTTCGCAATGCTAATAAAATGAATTTCGAGATATCCGAAATCCGTCTTGTGAAAATTTAGTCTTAGTCTTAGTTAAGAAAGGGTTACCATATATTAAAAAAAATTTCGAAAAAACTTTAGTTTATAATTTCACATAGTTGCTAATTAATTTCCATATTGAGGTAAAATTGTTTGTTTTCATAATTAAAACTTATTTTGCAGTTTTTCGCACTTAATAAAGTCAAGAAAGAGTTGCCATATATTTGAACGAAATTTCAAAAACGAAAAATTTATAAAATTAGACGAGCATTCACATAAAAGCTTATTAAGACACTTATTTGAATTAAAAAAGAAATTTTTTTCTCCGAGCTTTCAATAAAAAGCTTATTAAGTCATTTATGGCAAAGAAAAAAATTTGTTATTAAAATTTATCTTGCAGACTTTCGCATTTTAACTGTCAACAACGTTGCCAACTACTTCAAACAAAAAGTTGATTTTTGAAAGTAAACATTTTTTGTGCAGATTTTCGGCCTTTTTAGGTTAAGAAAATGTTGCCATATATTTAAAAGATGTGAAAAAAAGGTCTAGCACAAAAAAACATTTATTTCTACAATTAGACGAGCTTTCACATAAAAAAATGCTTATTGCACATAAAAGTTTGGCATTTGTAATCGTAAATAAATGATTTATTGACAGCTCTATTCAAATGAGTTTTATTTGAAACAGCGTCATTAAATACCGAATAAAATATAAAAATTATATTGCAGTATATTAACAAAACCAATTGAGCTTTCAAAAGCTGTTTTAAAAGCTTGTTGGTACAAAGTTTGTTATCAATGTTTTGAGGCTACTAACCAAGCTATCCAAATTAACTTAGAATATTATCGGCAACGTCTGTAAAAATACGTGCTATTCTGATTGTTCATTTATTACTTTAAATTTCACCTTGATAAATATAATGGATGTCAGTCTTTTTGGCAGCTGTTTCTTGGTTGGCCATTTCATGATAAACAGACGTACTTCTGAGCAACTCTTGCAAATCATGTAAGTTTATTAATAAAATGTTGATTCGATTGGCACCACTCACGCGTTTTGACTTGTAAAATTTAATTCGTATACGAATTTGAAGCCGAACGATCATAGTCAGTGTGTCACACGTTCCGCGAGTAGGCACAAAATGAGTTGACCATCGATATCGACTTTCACAATGTTTTGTTCTGCGAAGGATCTCACTTTTGGTTGTACCTAGTTAATAAACAAAATTGTTGCATGATAAATCACAAGCTATTGTTGCTACGCGTCACTGTTTGCTGTGTTTTTGGGTACAGGGAATCATTGGTCCATATTTCTTCAAAAATGAGCCATTTTATCGATGACTCTTTCATGCCTGAATTGTAGGATATTGATGTGGACGATTTTTGGTAAAAAAAAAAATGGCGCTATATGCCATACATCCAACGAAAGAATTAATTTATTAAAGGAAAATTTTCTTGGCCATATAGCATGGCCTCCAAGATCGTTGACTTAACACCGTTGGACTATGTTTTGTAGGGTTATGTAAAGTGGCTTGCCTACGCAGATAACACTGATATGATTTACACACTGGGAGAGATATGCGGCGGGTTGTTATTGATATACGCCCACAATAACTAAAAACATCGAAAATTGGGGAACGCGACAGGCATTTTTTGCAACCGTCACATTGCTTTTTTTCTTCTTGAATAACAAATATCTAAAAAACCAAGCTTTATGTACATAGGAGGAAAGGTCATCCTAATTAAAAAAAAATAGATTTCTAAATATTTTATTTATTTATCTATTTTCAATTCGAATGCCAACAAATTTTATTTTTTATTTTTTAATTTTGAACTGATTTAATCTGCTTCACTTTTAATAATTATTTCAAATATCGAATTTGAAATTAATTGTATAAATTGAATATTTATGTTTAATTTCCGAAATTGACACAACGGTTAGTAACGACTTATTTTGTGTTTCGTTGTTTTTGTAATTGTTAATTAAATTTTGAATTTTGGCATAATTGTATTCCATTATACAAAACTGTTGAATAATTTATTTCACGAAATATATTTAGCTATTATATGTTTAAACTAAATTCTATCAAAATTTACAAGAAAAATATTTTCGCTTCACCAATGGCAAGAAAATAAGTAACTTTCACACTTGCCTCTCAAGGCTCTTAGGCAAATTTGTGGTTGCCTTTTTAGGCTTAAAAATACTATTTATTTTCATATTTGCTTAACTGCCTAAATTATCAGGCCGTATTTGGTTAAGAACTTTGCAAATTTCATAGATAACTGCAATCGTACACTTTTACATAAATATTGTTGTAGAATAAATAGCATATAACGCTGCAATGCGCCAGCTATATGCATACACAAGTGTATATTTTAAGCTCTACAAGCATTTATGGCACTAAACGAGACCACAAAAAATCGGTCTATGGTCAAAAAACCAACATTCCGAAATAGAGAAAAAAATAAAATTATTAAAAACTTATGAAATGCAATTTATGAAAACTAAAAATTTGCTAAGTAAAAGTTACTCCAATACACATGTATAAGTGTATGTATGTTTGGCAAGCAGCGTGCAGGCCACACGCCCATTTGCCAACACTTGCAACAACTTGTTTATGACCAGCATAATTGCTGTTAAACACACACGTACGCTTGCAGTTATGCGGAACTTTGCTGCAGCCACGTTTGCCACTCGTTTATAACGGCACATATTGCTTGTGCGCCTAAAAGTCGGCAACAGCGTACACAACTTATTATTGCATTTTCTTGCCGGCAGTTTGCTGGTGTTTTTGTTGAGTATTTTCTTTTGCCAAAATGTCGCTGCACAGTGGGTAATTTCGCATGCTGGCAATTGCATAAAATATGCACGCTCGARTTGCTTGCTTGCTGTAAATGTGCGCACATTTGCAACGCTAGCGTGTGTGTGTGTTTGGCAAAGTGGATTTGTTTGTTTGGCGTGCTGAGCGCATAAAGTGTGTATGTGTTGGTGGTATAGCAATGCAATACCACAATTTGGCAGACAAGCAGAGCAGCCGAGCGCTCGCACGGAACAAAACGCAAAATTTTAAACAGCAATAAAATAAATTTCTAAGGAAAAACTATACACAAAAAATTTTTAGAAATGTTAACTTCGTTTGCAGCGAAGTTTTAATACCTTCCACGACAAAAATGTTTTCATACAAATTTTAATTTCATAATTTATTAATTAATTGTTTGATCGATTAGTTTGTATGCCAGCTGTATGCTATAGTGATCCAATATGGACAATTTTTTCGCAGATTATACCGTTGCCTTAAATATTAATTTCAGTCCAGTTTTCTGAAGATATCTCGTTAAACAAACAAGTTTTTGATACAAGTACTTGATTTTAATTGTTCAGTTTGTATGTCAGCTATATGCTATAGTGTTTTGATCTAGAAACTTTCCATCCATCCGATGCGAAATTTGGTAAATATATTTTCTCAAATAAAAAACTTTTTCATACAAGCACTTTGTTGTAATTGTTCAATTCGTAGGGCAGCCATATGCTATAGCATTTCGATTCAGAAAATTTCCACGGATATTGTTGCTTTGCCACAGACAATAATCCATGCCAAATTTTCTAAAATATTTTTTTTAATTCAAAAAATTCTTCCAAGAATTTATTTTCGATGATACTGCCGTTGGAGTAGCTTATTGGGGAGATAAGCCCATTTCATGTCGATATTTCAAAAATCAAGGGACATCACAGACATGACGGACATGACTAAAATCCCTCAGCTCGCCATGCTGATCATTTACACTATATATACATATACATTTTATACGATCTCCGACGTTTCCTTTCGGTTGTTACAAACTTCGTGGCACATTTAGTTTACCTTGTTCGGGGTATAATAAGCAATAACAAACTTTAGCAGCAAAACAAGCCGAAATTGGCGTTAGCTTGTAGTGGCAAGTTGAACTGTGGCGCGCTATAACCGTTATGCAGCACTTAAGTGCGCGCTTAAGTGCACCACTTGGGTTGAGCGCCAGCAGCATAGCGACGCCAGCACATACGCGTCGCTGACAAAAAGTTAGCAATCGTAATAGCGAAATAGTTAAATAGAAACTTACCATAAGTTTTAATTATAACGCTCGTATTCATTAATTCCGTATTTGCATAGGAGGCGGTGCAATAATATTTGCCTTCCATTTCGACCGACAGCGAGGTGATCATCAGCGCCAAACTTTCCGACAAAGTTTCCGTATACATCGGTGGCTGATTGCGGCCAGTGCTGTACATATACAGGGTGTGTATATATTAATATGCGCGTGGGTGTGCGGCATGTGTGGCGCGTTTTAAAGCGATATGTTGGCAGGTTTGGCGGTTAGTTGATTAAGTTGGGGCGTGTATTGAAGTACGCGAAGCGTTGATGTCGTTGTACAAAATACAGTTTTATGTGGCGTTAGGTTTGTTGTATTGGTAGACACGTATGGGCACATGAAAATAGAAGAAATAACGCAGAAACACAAATGCATTTAGTAAAATATTGATAAAATGTGCCGTGATAAATACAAATATATATTTTTTTAACAAAAAAAAAAAAAAAAAAAAAAAAAAAAAAACACTAAAAGTCGTTAAATGTAAAAACATGAAAAAATAATTTTGCTGTCAGCGGTGTTGAAGCGCATTATTTCTTGCGCAAATTTGCTTAGTTAACGCAGCTAAATTGCATTAAATTGCCGAAAGCTCTAACTTTTTTCTATG